GTAATCTAATTACCGTTTTTGCAATAGTAATCCCTTACTTTACTCGTTACTTGAAAAAAGTAATCTGATTACAGTGACGCGTTAGCCCATCTCTGTTAGTGTATGTGTTGTATGTGAGGTTCAGGCTAATTGTGCACTCTGTACCTCAGCTGCAGCGATTGGTTCACAGAAAAAGACATAACGAGGCACAAATTCTCCAGTAAAACCAGCGTTCAGTCTGACCGAACAGAAACACCTCAGAGAGGAACATCAGGTGAAACACAACATGTTAAAAAAGAAAACCTTTAAAAATGTTCACGTTCATATTTATTGGAGAAGCAAACGTTACAACATTCAGAGTGAACCTGCAGCAAAGTAAATGAGGAAATCGCTGAATCCAGCTGTACGTCAAACTGATCCTGGAGCAGTTACAGCACGGTGAACGTGAACAGCAGCGTGGCCAGCAGCAGAGCCACGGACAGCCGAGCTCCCTGCGCTCCAGCTGGAAAGGAAAGGAGCATCGTGGTTAACGTGCACGTCACATGATCTGCACTCAGAGCTGAAAGCTAAGCTAGTTTTTACCTGGTCTTATTAAACTCTCACTTATGATATGAAATAATTCTGTGATTGGACTGGAGACCCCTTCAAAAGCTGGCTGCAGGTTCAGCATCTTGTATCAGTGCTGATGAGCAGTGGGTGGGGCCAGAGTTTTTAATGTGAATGCCTGACGACCAATGGCACCAAATAATACGGACTTACGACAGGTCTGTGAGCCATGTACACAATTCTACCTTTTTATAGATGAAATGATTTATTTTATCTTCAAATGTTGTGAGGTGGCGAGGTGATCGGCAGTCGCTTTGAAGCGAGAACGTGAACTGACCCTGAACTCAAGCCAGACTTAAAAGATGAGTCTATCTGAACCTTGGATGACAGACCGCTACTCTGGTCTAGCAGAGCGTCAGACGAGGGCAACACACCTGTGGTAAAAGAGCCTTGCGGCGTTGTGAACGAAGGCTTGGTCGTGGTGGTCGGGGCGGGGAGCAGCATGTCCTCGGTCACGCTCAGTGACCCGTTGTGCGGCGCTGGTTCGATCTGCAGCAGTTTGCACATCAGAGGGTAGATGTGGATGCTGTCGAACGGCTCGGACAGGTAGCTCCTCTTGAAGCTCGGTCCGAAGGCCCTGAAGATGGTCTTCATGTCCATCTCCGTGTTATGGAAGCCGTGGTCACCTTTATTCACGTAGACGATGAGTCTCTGGTGTGAAACGATATGAAGTCGATATACGATCTCTAGATTTGTTGAATTTTGCTTCTTGGAGGTGAAACGTTGGGGTACTTACAGAGTTCAGGTTGAATCCCAGATCTGCGATGATCACGATGGGAGGCAGACGCTCACTTTTGGCGAGATGGAAACTTTCTGGAATCTCGTTTTTCTTGTACACCGTGATATTGGGCACGTTGGAGAGGGCGTCGAAAACTTCCTGCTCCTTCCCCGGACGTGGCGTCAGGATGCCAAACCCGCCGTAGTCGAGAATTTCAAATTTGGCGACCTTGAATAAATTCAGGTATTTGTTGAGGATGACCTCGTCTACCTGCGGCTTCTTCTTTACTGTGGTCATGCCGTGGTCAGACGTGATGATGACATTCAGCCTGTCGGTCAGGTTGTGGCGATCGATAGCGTCCCTCAAGTAGCCGATGGTGCGGTC